TCTTCCCATCATGGAAGTCCAGGAACAAGATGTTCCAAAGCAGGCTTCCCATGGAGTCACGGACCTCTTCAGGCTTAGCTCCCGGTCCGGCATGGGGACATCCACGGGCTGAAGACCCACCCCCCACTCTGGGGGTCCACCCCTGCTCTGGCAGCGAGTGACTCTCAAGGTCTCAATTCCATCACACTTGCCTCAGGCTCAACTTCTCTGGTCCAGCGTGGAGTCCTCCACGATCTACACATGGGTTTCTGCTCCACTGTTGAATATCCATGGGCTGCAGGGGACTTTGTCTTCTCCTGCTCCACATGGTAGAACTGGGTGTGGGTCTCTGTCTTTTCCTTTGGCAACAAAGCTCTCTCTGTGTCTGTCTGTCCTTTGCTTAGGCCGATAGTCATCTTTTGTTCAGGTCAATGGCCTCTCCTCCAGGTTCTCTCCACCTTCTTTTCAGGACAGCCCTTCCCCACACCAATATGGAATGGCAGAGGCGTTTCTCTAGTGCTCATTGGCCCAGCTTGGGATGGGGGATCTCCACCTTGGAGCCAGGGGAGCTTTTCACTCTCACAAGGTGTCCCTTCCCCCACTACCAAAAAAACGCATCCCACCCCCCAAAACCCAACACATATATAGGGCAAAATGCACGTTTGCATTGACATCTGAAAAGCTATCAGAACACCCATGTTCACTGGAGTGAGTGCTACAACATGGAGAACGGGATTTCTTCACTTGAAGCGGAGGAAAGGGAGAGGAACATCCGTGCTTTCTCCAGTGTGCGGAAGGAAACAGGATGTAGTCAAAAAGCTGCCTGAATGAAAGTTGCTAACTCTATTTTATTTTCTCTGAGGAATAGTGAGGAGATAGAGTAATATGCCAAGCTATTATATTTTAAAATCTTTGTGCTGAAACACTTAATACAATTACTTTCAGATTGTTTCCTGCTTTCAAATGAAAGCATCAATGAAAAACAAATATAGACTGTGAATGGGAAGTTTCAAGGTAGTCTACATTTAGAAATTGTGAGATAAAACAGCGAATAACTTTAAATGAAACATCAGAAATTTAAAGTAATACATGGGTTATAGTTTCTTGTGTATAGTTTTTCAACAGAAGGCAATTACAGGTTAGAAGTGAACTGATGAAGATTTTGAGAACAAACATCTACCTAAGCAGATGTGGTCTGCTGTACCTCAACTGAAGGAAAGCTGATGATGCAACCACTCCTACCAGCCTACACAGAGTCTTTACCTAGCTTCAGCTCCCCTCCCCGAAAGCCTCTTCATCCTGTCCCCCTGCCAAAGAGCCACTTCCCGGTGCCGTGAATCCCTGCTACCTGGGCTGCTGCCCTGCAAGCAGGTAGGAGGTTTGTCATAGATGGGATGATGCCAGCATGATTGCTTTGATTTCCACTGCTTGCTTTGATATCCTGGCCACAAACACAGCAGTTCTAATGAAAGTAAAGAGGTAAAGTATTTGCTTTCAGTGAGCTCACAGATAACATGTAGGTATTTGCACTTCCAGCCTGAGAACACAACCCCCCAGCAACATGCCAACCCAGATCAGGGACTTTACAGTCCTAGACCTTGCTTTGCGTTCTGGATCTCCTTCTTGCACTGACAAGACCATACAATGATCCGGGCAAGTACTAAAAGATTACTTTCTGGGTGTAATTTTCAGTGAGTACAGCTCTCTGGGCTGTTCCACTGCATGGTCATATAAGTGCAAAACCTAATTCTACAAACACTCTATTATTTGATTTTATGCTTCAGTTTTATACCCCGAGTATCATAAGGAACATTAGAATGAAGATTAAAATTAAAATCTCATGTATCAGCAGTGCACTACCATCACATTACTTTTAATAGTGGGCCATAGGTCAGATCTAGCAATTAATACACACACACACACACACACACACACACACATACATATATAAATATATATATATCAGAAGTAAACTGCATCAAAATGCTCCAAAAAGTTCAAATAATTTATTCTCATAAAAGATCCATGTGAGGGTGACTGAAAGCTAGATTCATTGTAACATATCAGGGTAACTGAGGAATCTTATTTCAAAACAACAGTATGCAAAATACAACACACAGTTACTATAGGTCTTTCTACAGCTTATTTACATAACAGCTACATCACTCAGTTCAGCTACCAAAATAACCAATAAACCATAGTTTTTGTTCACAGCAACAACACAAATTAGGTACAAAGGGAAAGGAAAAGGTTATAAACATGGAATTACGCAATAGCAATGATAAGAAGCCTGTCGGGCAGTGTAAAGTCAGAACAATCTATACTCTTCACTGAAGTCTCTAATTTCAATCAGGGTTCCGGGAAGTGAACAAATGTTTCTTGTTTATAATTACCATAAGCTCTTCATGGAATTACTGCCTTGCCATGCACATCTGGGAATATTTTATCACCTACACATGACAATAGCTTA